GGGGGAGACAGAGACCAGTAGGATCAAGCTGTTTTTTTTTTGCAGAATACAGAAAATGAATCTCCTAGTGAATGAGTGATTATGAACAGTATGCTAATACAACATTTATTGATTAGTTTTTAATGATGTGGGTATAATGACACTTTAAGGCAGTGGTCGTCAAAATGCGGCCCTTTGCTTGCCCTTATCTGGCCCTTGGGGTTCCTTTCCTCCTACTGATGTAAGACACTAACTGACACTAATGATGGGGCATTATTCCTCCCACCGACACTAACAATGGAGCACTAGTTCTCCCACTGACACCAACAATGAGGCACTTTTCTTCCCACGGACACCAATCACAGGACACTTCCTCCCACTGACACTAATGATGGGGCACTATTCCTCCCATTGACACCAGTGAAGGGGCTCTATTCTTTCCACTGGCACCAATGATCGGACACTGTTCCACCAATGCCAAAGATGCACTGTTTACTCCCACTGACACCAGGAAAATGTCTTCACTCACTTGCCACAGTCCACCTTAAAAACATAGAAACTTAAAAGGAACCTAAAAATCAACAAAAAGAAAAACATTTTTGCAGTTTGACTTGTAACCTGACTTCAGAGTCTGTTGTGATCTTTATGGATGAATTACTCTACAGTACATGCAGCTAAAGAGGTCAGTGAGGGTTGTTTGGGCACAGGTGCATTTAAAAATGAAACCCTGTCCATCCTTTGTATACATCACCAGTAGGGATGAGCTTAAAGAGGAATTCTAGGTATGAATATTTTACACACACAAAACATTTACGTTGCTCCAGCTTGGAGTAATGTAACTATGTATAAAGCATACCTGGCCGATGCCCCTGGAAGCCGGAAATCACTGAAGTGTTCACCATTACTTCAGTGACCTGCATTTGTTTCTGGGGCCAGTGCTGAGTGGCTGGCATGCTGCATTCAGAACACAAGTTGTGTGCTTAGCACAGGCACCAGTCAAAGAATGTTCTGCATTTTCTGAATGAATGCAAAGCAATCTCTGATTGGACAAGGTGGAGAGGCAGGGCAGTAACATCACATTACCCAACCCCACGCACTCTTTTGCCAATCCATTGGCTATTAGTCAAACAGAAAATTGATTTGACAGACTCGGATGACTCCTAATAATCAGCTGAATCCAGGATGGAGTTTGCAGGCCTGAGGGTTAGCTGTGTGACCAAACACTGACAGAACCCTCACTGCCCTTTTGCTCTGAGAGAAGGACCTGCATCATACAGACACATTGAGATTGAGATTAGAAACTGGTCTCCTAGAATGGGTCAGGTCATGATTTCCATAGTCTATTTGTGTTTTCTGTCATCTGTATAAACAATTACATGTTCTTATAGCACAATACTAAAAGCTGCAAATTTTGCAGGCACACAAACGAATGGCCTGGACTTTCAAAAGCAACCAGTGCCTGTCGGAACGGCCATCACGACAGCCCAAGCACAGGCCTTCCTCGGACACCTCCACCAGGTAAGAATATACGCTGATGCACAGGCTTCTGTTCTTTGTCAAGGAAGTATCAATTCTACGACTTTGGTTCCTATCCTGTTCCTGCTGCTGACTGCTTCTTTCATACCAAATCAATGAATGATATAGGCACTCCATCCAAATTTGGAGTCAGTCAAATTTGCACCTGTGCGACTGCACTGGAGGTTTTTGGAATGGTGGTCTTGTCAGCACCCAGCCTTCCATTTCCCTCCTTTATGGGTGATGCGGCTTCCACACATGTGACTGGTGTAGCGGAGACAAGACTGGGCCTAAATCATAACCTAGACTCCTAACACATAACTGTGCCTAGTTGAATTGCATTGGTCCTTGACAGTGCATGGTGGCACCAGATGGGTCTTACTGGCTCCTAAATTCTACATTCATTTGCCTATTCCTATGGCTTCTAAAGAGATCAGCATCCACAGTTTGACCATTTTTTTTTTTTGTTGTCCAGCACATTTTCACACAGGTCCGTCTGGTAAGCGATGAGTCACACAAATATACAAATTTGTGAACCATATAATTTTCTGAAAATGTAACATTTTTAGTCATATATTCAAGACAATTAAAATCTTTGGTCAAGTGGGAGGGCATTAGTGGCCAGGAAATAAAACTCCTACTGACAAGCCATTTGCATCAGATCTCTAGTTTAAAATATTTCCGTTTTTGTTGTTTTTAAAAAAAAAAAAAAAAAAAAAAAAATGAAAGATGATCCAGTCTAACGTTGTCGATATTGTTGCCACATTCTACAGCCTTACCCCTTTTACTGCAAAGAATCCTTTGCTTTTCCAGTGGTAATTTTTGATGCTGAGCTTCTATAATTGGAAAAATTTAAAACTAATAAATGAAAGGGGCACACCAGGGACAGTCAGGCTGGGGAGCGAAGGCTAGATCAGGGGTGTCAAACTCCATTTCATCAGCATTATGTATGTCCTCAAAGGGCTGGTTGTATCTGTAAGACTATATATATAAATTTATGCAGGGCTTTTGTTTTCTTCGATATGGAGGAATCCGCCCCCGCCAAACCGCACCCAACAGTGGAGTATCTTAAATGGGCAGGAGATGCCAGAAGTGTTTTATATGCGGAGTTCAGGGATGCACTATGTGCAGAGTTCAGGGGTGCACTACATACCGAGTGCAGGGTTCGGGGGGTGCTAAGTACAGAGTGCAGTATTGAGGAGTGCGCTACATACAGAGTGAAGAGCTTAGAGGTGTGCTATGTACAGTGTGCAGGGCTCAGCTCTCTTTCACACATACACATCTCACCTCCACCTCTCTCCAATGATCGCGATGGCCACATGAAATGGCCTGGCAGGCCAGATTCTGCCTACGGGCCTTGTGTTTGAGACATTTGGGCTAGATGAAGCTAGATCTCCACCAGCCAGAAAGTGAGGCGGGCTGTATCTGACTTTCTGCAGCTTCTAATGCACACAATCATAAGCTCACAGTGTGCAGTAAAATCAGAGTAAGCCATTTCGGTACAGAAGAGGAGCCGGTACAACTGTGTAAGACCTGCAGGGAAGGCCCGAGTTCAGCATTAAGTAATAACCGCTTTTGCTTTATGAAGTTTTTGGAATCAAAATTCTATTTGCAATATTTCTATATTGACTTTGTAAAAAAGGACACCTTCAAAATTCCCTCATTTTTATCCAAACTGAGCCAGACGACCTTGCGTGTTCTTCCATTGTAAAACCTCCAGACCTGTTTCATTTAAGTATCTACTGCGCACTCCCCTAAATTCTGTTGTCTAAAAATGCCAAAACGATGAATTTTGGCATCTTTATTGGAACCGTTTGATTCCTTTTTGATAGTGCTAGTATAATATGCAGTATAGCTACAGAGAAAACGAAAATGTAACTAAAGGCAAAACCATTTTTTTTTTATTTTTTTTTTGGGATAGAGTGTAGAAGGATTTTATTTTATTTTTATTGCTGTTTGTGCCCCCTTTAGGGAGAGTCAGCCTCTCTATTTGTCCTGTCTACCATTATCGCTGAGAGTGAAAGAAAATTCAAATTTTGGGTTGTCCCCAGACCAGAAATAGATGCAAAATCTAATAGGGACACTAGCTCTGATGACAACCAGGTATTTCCCTCAATTTGGAGGGATTTCCTTTCTTTTCCTGTTTTGGCTATGGGGCAGGAAGTGAAGGTAAATCTTTTCAGTAAAAATTCATTAAAAAAAAAGAGTTTTGCCTTTTTAGTCCTATTTCCATTCAGTCTGTTGATTTTCGTAAGCAAATACATATAGGTTTTGTGAACATTTGTATGACATGAAGGTAGACCGAGTAAGGCACCTTTCACACGGGGTGGACTCCGATTTGATCTGCAGGGGATCTGTTGGCTGATCTTCTGCTGTTCAGAACAAAGCGGGTGGATGACAGGTCCGTGCCGCTCGGTTTATGCAGAGAGGACATGGACTGAGCCTGCTCTGCTCTATGGGCAGCCGGGTGTAATTGGACTCAGCCTGTCTGGTTACATTGTCTACCCTGAGATCCAATCCACCTAAATGGAAGGGAACGGATCCCCTTCTGTTTCTTATTTAATAGACATGATCGGATTGGAGGTATACAGGTGTACACAGATGCAAGTCCCGTTTTACACCTGCCAGTCCAGAGGGACACGAGGACCATCTGGTCAGGTCCGTCTGAAAAACTGAGAGGCAGACCTGATCGGATTACCCGTGTGAAAAAGGGCCTGACATGACTTTCTAGTTATCCTAGAAAGTCATGTCCGGCCCTTTTCAGACGAGTAATCTGATCAGGTCTGCCTCTCAGTTTTTCAGGCGGACCTGACCGGATGGTCCTTGTGTCCCTCTGGACTGGGAGGTGTAAAACCGTTTTTATAAAGCTGGATACAAGAAATTCACATTAAACAAAGGAGTCGAAGTAGATAGTTTAAACCAGTGAAGAAGACGGCCCACGTGAAGGGGTTGGGTGATCAGTATATGGAAGCAAGGTGTAAATGCAAATGAATCAGTAATAGGGGGAGACAGATCTCTTCACACTCAAAGGGTCAGAAGATCTTGAAGATCTTGATCACCACCATACCCCATACCAGTGTCCTGTCCTGATCACCACCACCATACCCCATACCAGTGTCCTGATCACCAGCATCCTGATCACCCCATACCCCATACCAGTGTCCTGATCACCATACCCCATACCAGTGTCCTAATCAACACCATACCCCATACCAGCATCCTGATCACCACCATACCCCATACCAGCGACCTGATCACCACCATACCCCATACCAGCGTCCTGATCACCACCATACCCATACCCGCGTCCTGATCACCACCATACCCATACCAGCGTCCTGATCACCACCATACCCCATACCAGTGTCCTGATCACCACCATACCCCATACCAGTGTCCTGATCACCACCATACCCCATACCAGTGTCCTGATCACCACCATTCCCCATACCAGTGTCCTGATCACCACCATACCCCATACCAGCGTCCTGATCACCACCATACCCCATACCAGCGTCCTGATCACCACCATACCCCATACCAGCGTCCTGATCACCACCATACCCCATACCAGCGTCCTGATCACCACCATACCCCATACCAGCGTCCTGATCACCACCATACCCCATACCAGCGTCCTGATCACCACCATATCCCCATACCAGCGTCCTGATCACCACCATACCCCATACCAGTGTCCTGATCAGTGCCCATACCCCACACCAGTGTCCTGATCACCACCATACCCCACACCAGTGTCCTGATCACCACCATACCCCACACCAGTGTCCTGATCATCACCATACCCCACACCAGCGACCTGATCACCACCATACCCCATACCAGCGTCCTGATCATCACCATACCCCATACCAGCACCCTGATCACCCCCATATCCCCATACCAGCGTCCTGATCACCCCCATACCCCATACCAGCGTCCTGATCACCACCATACCCCATACCAGCGTCCTGATCACCACCATACCCCATACCAGCGTCCTGATCACCGCCATAATTTCACTGGGAGATAGGGAGATGTCCGCAGCTACCAGATGGTCTGGAACGTCTCCATTCTGTCAGTGGACTTCACTTGTTTTGCTCCTATTGTTAAACAGTTTGTTCAGGTCCTGTGCCAATGGCGCTTACATTATGTTTTTTTGTCAGTGTAATTTTTTCAGTGTTTTCAAGTTTGCAAACTGATATTTAATATTGTTTTTATTATTGTTTATATCAACTAGTTACTTACACTCATTAATTCTGCATCATGGGCTTTTAAATTAGAGTGCCCATAACTGCTTACCTGCTTGCTGACAGCCGGTGTATGAGTGACTAGGCAAGTGGTTATGTCTCTGTTGGAAACAGAGGAGGGGGGGGGGGTGTTTCTTTTATGTCATTATACAATCTGTGGAATCAGATTTCCCTGCTAATCAGGTCTGATGCACAACTATCAGAGTTTAAAAAACAAAAGTTGCATCTTTATATTCTCACAGGCGCACGTACACGCAGGTTAGATAGAGGCCATTAGCCTTTTGTTTTTCTGGACTGTGGGGAGAAACTGGATCACCAGGAACCCAAGCAAACATGGGGGAATTGTACAAACCTCTGTGTAGGTTGTGTGACTGGAATTTAATGCTGACTTCTTCTAAGGCAAGCCAGATGGGGCAGATGTGTCATAGAGAGCAGTGGGTGGGGAAACACCTGTCTGTCCTCTGAGGAACCAGCACTTTGCTGTGCTTGCATGACTCTTCCACTGCACAGCACTTGCACAGCTCACTACCTCCTAACGTCTCTTCACTGAGAAGAGGGAAAGATCAGCCCAGCCACTGCAATGTGTCTCAAGTCAAAACTTAGTTTCTTGTTTGTAGTTATGAATAGAATGGTGGTGGTGGGGGGGGGGGGGGGGGGGGGGGGGGTCAGTGCCTCTGTCAGGGCTGTATTGGTGTCTGTGTCCCTGCACATGAGAGTCACCATCTGTTTGTCCAGGAGACCATTGTCACTGGGACAGTAATAAAGAATCCAAGATTTTGAGTTGTCACCAGAACAGGAAATAGAGGGGAAATCCTCTGAAGGAAAGAATGTTCCTGTAACAACTGTCCAAAAGGGTATTTAAAGTGTAACTAAGGCTCAGTTCAGAGTAGTGCGAATCCAAAGTAGCGTGATTTCCAGTGCAACTGTATGCGACTTTACACTCTCTTGCACTCAAGTCGCTTCAAAGTAGAGCAGAAACCTTTTTAAAGTCGCATAGATTGGGACAGGTGTGACTTTTTGTCCAAAGGTGCATCACAAGTCTCACTAATGTGAATAGAGTGTGCAGGCAAAAATTTCCTTTTGTTTTGGATAGAGTGGAGATGGATTAGAACTAGTGGTGCGCCGAAATGAAAATTCTGGCACCGAAACCGAAAATTCGGGATGCACCTGGCCAAAAACCAAAACGGACTGTTTTTAAACATTTTTTTTAATGAATGTAATTAATGTGGCTGGCAGTTTTTGCATTGTAGCCTATGGGACACAATTTTGCATTGTAGTCTATGGGACGCGATTTAGCATTGAAGTCTATGGGGCGCGATTTAGCATTGAAGTCTACGGGACGCGATTTAGCATTGAAGTCTACGGGACGCGATTTAGCATTGAAGTCTACGGGACGCGATTTAGCATTGAAGTCTACGGGACGCGATTTAGCATTGAAGTCTACGGGACGCGATTTAGCATTGAAGTCTACGGGACGCGATTTAGCATTGAAGTCTACGGGACGCGATTTCTACGGGACGCATTTAGAAGTCTACGGGACGCGATTTAGCATTGAAGTCTACGGGACGCGATTTAGCATTGAAGTCTACGGGACGCGATTTAGCATTTAGCATTGAAGTCTACGGGGATGCGATTTAGCATTGAAGTCTACGGGGAAGTCTACGGGGAGCGATTTAGCATTGAAGTCTACGGGCGCAATTTTAGCATTGAAGTGGATGGGACGCGATTTAGCATTGAAGTCAATGGGATGCAGCATTCTATTTATCAGCACCCTTTTTTTTCCTTTCGGCAAAATGCCCATAACCCCATTTTGGTCAATATATCGGTACATCCTTAAATAGAACCCCTGTCAGGTTTTTATTGCGGTCTGTGTTACTGACCTTCCCTATTTGTCATGTTTACCATTATCAGTGAAAGAAAATCCCAAGTTTTGGGTTTGCCCTAGAAAAGTAAAGTGGGGACACTAGTGCTGGTGACCTGGGGGGCCCAATAGATTTGCTTAATTTGTAGGGATTTCCTCTCACTTCCTGTTTTGGCTATGGGACATGAAGTGAAGGGAAATTTCCCCAATGGGGCACAGATTCCAAAAAACATATTTGATGGGTTATAATCCTCCCTTACTCTATCCCAAATGAAAAAAAAAAGTTTTGCCTTTAGTTTTACTTTAATCTTCCTGTTGGAGAAATTGTTTTTTTCTCACCTCTTGTGTCTTCAAGAGGAAGTAAAGGGGAATCTCCGCAATGACACAGCACAAAAAAATCCAGGGAAGGGTGTTGGGTGTTCCCTATTTTTTTTTCTTTTTTAATGCCTTTAATACAATTAAAATCTCTGGTAAAAATGATCACTTTTACAGTTGCAAACAGTCATTCTCCCTGAGAGTGTTAGTCGAAATGGTTATAAAGATGAAGGGAAGGGTGGTGGTGTGTGTGTGCGTGGGGGGGGGGGGGGGGGGGGGGGGGGGGCGAGGTATAGGATCTTTTGTTCCATTTTAGTACCAAAACAGAGCAGCAGGGGAGCAAAAAGAATATATGTGTTGCTGGGGAAGGCGACAGAAAAATACCTGTTGATTATCCAGCAAAGGAGAGAAGAGAACTGGCAGGGCTGACAACACTGCTTGAATTGTTTAGTGCAGCACAGGCTATGTATTGTCAGCCCACACAAGAAGTTAAGAGCTCCCACGATTTCTGGCAGATCTGCACCTGCAGCATTTTTTTAAACCCAGAGCATACATGTGTTGCAGAGATTTACGGTTTTTACTCAAACATACACTTTAATTTGCCCGTTGTACAGATACACTTCGAAGCTGAACTCTAGGAATATGGAAAACCTTCCTTTGCATTGTGGTTCCCCTGCACTGCAAGGATTAGATGCTCCTTCTTACCTAATCGGTCAGTAAAAAAACATTTTTACTTCGTATCCCTCACTGTTCCAGCATCCGGTGCTCACCTCTTCTCTGTGACGCTCCGGGTAGTTGGTGGGCTTCACTTACAATATACAGTGGGGATCAAAAGTTTGGGCACCCCAGCTAAAAATTTGTATTAATGTGCATAAAGAAGCCAAGGAAAGATGGAAAAAATCTCCAAAAGGCATCAAATTACAGATTAGACATTCTTATAATATGTAACAAAAGTTAGATTTTATTTCCATCATTTACACTTTCAAAATAACAGAAAACAAAAAAATGGTGTCTGCAAAAGTTTGGGCACCCTGCAGAGTTAATATCTTGTACTGCCCCCTTTGGCAAGTATCACAGCTTGTAAACGCTTTTTGTAGCCAGCCAAGAGTCTTTCAATTCTTGTTTGAGGTATCTTTGCCCATTCTTCCTTACAAAAGTCTTCCAGTTCTTCGAGATTTCTGGGCTGTCCAAAATGCATCAGGCTTGTCTCTATGTTCATTTGCAAAGTTCAAACGATGATTTTTGTGGTGAGGACGTAGAAGAGGTTTTCTTCTGATGACTCTTCCATGAAGACCATATTTGTACAAGTATCTCTTTATAGTGGAATAGTGTACCACAACTCCAGTGTCTGCCAGATCTTTCTGGAGGGATCGTGCAGTCAAACGTGGGTTTTGAATTGTTTTTCTCACAATCCTGCGAGCTGTTCTGTCTGATATTTTTCTTGGTCTTCCAGATCTTGCTTTAACTTCCACTGTTCCTGATGACTGACATTTCTTAATTACATTCCGAACAGAGGATATTGACATCTGAAAATGCTTTGCTATCTTCTTATAGCCTTCTCCAGCTTTGTGAGCGTCAACTATTTTCAGTTTCAGTTTTCTAGACAACTGCTTAGAAGAACCCATGGTGCTGATTGTTGGGGCAAGGTCAGATGAGTCGGGGCATTTAAAACCTTTGAGATTGACATCACCTGGTCTTCCCAGACGATGATTGAGAACAATCCATGACACTGGCAGGTCTCAGCTTGGCAAAGGGGGCAGTGCATGCTATAAATTCTGCAGGGTGCCCAAACTTTTGCAGACGCCATTTTTTTTGTTTTCTGTTATTTTGAAAGTGTAAATGATGGAAATAAAATCTAACTTTTGTTGACATATTATAAGAATGTCTAATCTGTAATTTGATGCCTTTTTGGAGATTTTTCCATCTTTCCTTGGCTTCTTTATGCACATTAATACAAATTTTTAGCTGGGGTGCCCAAACTTTTGATCTCCACTGTAGGTCTGCTGGTCCTGTATTGTACATGATGATATCAGAGCACCAATGAGTAATAGCTGTAGGGACCAGTCCCACGGAGAGGAGGAAGCCTGCAGTAGTGAGGAATAAGGCAAGTAAATGTGATTTTCTTGTGGTACTCTAAGCAAAGACAGGCATTTAACCCTTTTTTATATTCCTGGAGTTCAGCTTCAAAGTTACGTACACTGTGCAATATTGGGTTGGGTGGCACGTTTCAGACTTTTTCAGTTGTTGGAGAGCCGACTGTATGGATAGGATTGGCCTTCATGAAGATGAGCAGGGTCACTGTTGTACTATATTTAATAGGTCAAGCAATAGGCCTGCATAGTAGAGTTCTAGCGTTTTTCTATAGAAGGCAGAATGGCTCCTAAAAACATACACACTGCCGCAGTGTCCTGTACACTCCCAGGTATCCAGAGAGGTTTGTACCCGGTGACGCTCTGTACTTTTACTTGCATCACACACTTTACTTCTCTCAAAAATGCAGAGATTT